ACCGTTCTTATCTAAAATGAAACCAAGGTAGTTGGAAACCATACTTCAACATCCGGCTAAGGACCTGACGTAGTCGATCAGAAAGTTAACTGTCAGTTGAACCCATAACTATGATATCATCTAGATAAGCTGCCATACCAGGTATAACTGTTAGCATTGTATCCATTATTTGCTGAAAGATGGCAGGTGCGGACTTAATGCCAAATGGTAGACGGCTGTATTGAAATAAACCTCAGTGAGTATTAATGATGAGAAGCTCTCTACTATCTTTATTTATTTCCACTTGCAGATAGGCATTGAAGTCTATTTTCACAAAACATGTTCCATCATTAAGCTTGGCAAACAGGTCTTCAAGAACTGATAACGGATATTGGTATACATCCAATGCAGCACTTAAGCCGGTTGAGAAATCGGCACAAATGCGTATAGTTCCATTGGCCTTTTTAATCACTACGATGGGTTCGGCCCATGCAGAGTAGTTGACTAGTTGGATTACACCAGCTTGTTGCAAGCGATTGAATTCCTGATCGACTAGTTCAAGAGCAGCATATGGTACAGGACGTCTCGGATGAAAAATAAGTTTGACAACTGGTTTCACTGGTAAGTGAGCTTTCATCTTGGTACAGTGGCCAAGGCTATTCTGAAAAAAGAGACAAACTTTCTCTGCAGTTATTATAGTAACCTTTCACCTATCTTTTTTGCAAGTACTGAGGTGTCCAATGATGAACATGATAGTGTTAATGGGGACACCTATTACTCCAAGTTTTTCTAGCATATCTAGACCAAGAAGATCAAGGTTTGGCCGTCCTGTTAAATAACATATTCCTGTACAGTTAGTTCCATTAAAAGAAAATTCACTGTAATTCACCAACTAGTTTTAGCACACCTGGTGCGTGTTTAGCAGTTTTCTTAGACGGCCTTGTTGGCGGTTTCTTAAGCAGGTTATACGTTTCTCTAGACACTAGGGTGATTTATTTGAACACATAAATATTGGTACAAGGAAGCACCAGATACATATGGGCCACACACACACTAGGGTGATATCAGATGCCGTGTCAATTTAAAGACGAGTTAATATGCCGTTAATCTGGATAGTAACAGAATTTCTCCGAATGTCATAATCTGTTTGGAAGGCTGTTACCAGAGAAGAGATTTAGATTCGATTGATTTCACCACATGTCGACGATGTTTATGTTTTTTCTTGGGCTGGGACGTACGATTCGATGGACAATTATATTCGTTATGTTCACGTCTGTTGCACGCCTGAAGTTTATGCTTCTTAAATGGACAGAATTGTACATAATGCAAATTACCACAAAGCCAACAGGCAGACGTTGGTTTGTTACGAGTTGTTATCGGCTTCTGAACTTTTAACCTAGTAATATCATTGACACTACTGCAGGTAAAATTAGGATTTACCTGTCCAATCAACTCATTGTTGTGGTGACATCAGCTCTCGTACACGTAATACACGACACCAAGTTGGTCACAATCAAATCCTTCCTACACTTCCTAACAACTCTCTTATCTCCACGAATAACCATTCTCACGTTCTTTTATCACATCGCGCCGCTAATGAAAACGATTCCAGGTCTCCTGAAATCAAGCTTTCAACTACATGTAGGAGCTTTTTACGTCCGAACACAACGCCAAATAGGACAACAGGCTTCCTTAACTAAGAATTTGGAATCTCGAGTATCTGAAACGTGCTTACAAGATCCGTGAAGCGTCATTCATTTGAGCTCAACATATGGAAAAAGAACCAACTACCAGATTTTAGCCAAAACATTAGCCGGCCTAACTGCTGAAACTGGACCATCATCCTTAAAGACCTCTGGAGCCAATCCATCTGGACCAGTTGCTCCTCCTCGTTTCTTATGTATTGGGACAATCAGTGATTGCAACCAGTTAGATGGGATTACATCCAACTCCCAGATTTTAGCCAAAACATTAGCCGACCTAACTGCTGAAACTGGACCATCATCCTTAAAGACCTCTGGAGCCAATCCATCTGGACCAGTTGCTCCTCCTCGTTTCAGATTAACTATAGTCTTTTGTGCTTCAGATAGAATCGGGGAACCTACTTCAATATTCCATTCAGACTATGCAGTGCAATAGACTTAGTAGATATCCATTGGTTTTTCGTAGTCGTTTGGTTTAAATCACTAATAGATGTCGCTGCTGTCCCACAGTTGTTTGTATACGTGTCCAAGCAACATCTAGGTCAGCCTCGTTTTCAGAACTACCTAAGTGTAATCTCAGTTGTTCCTGGAATCTACTTTTAGCTTTCTCGTCAGACTTCACATCTAATGGTTCTTTTGTATGTGGTTTTTTTGCGTCCAGTGAGGCACAAGCAAATGCGTGCTCGTATTAGCATGACCGGAGTCCAGAATGAACGACAATCTTCTATCGACCATCTCCAACGATGACTGATGGCACTATGGTCTATTTGAGTCCATCGATGGTTTGGTGAAGGGGGTCGCCATGCTAGACGATGTCTCTCCTTGTGCTTAGAATTAGTGCTTGCTAAAAGTAAAAGATCGTCTGAGCAGAGTTGCAGCAGCCGATCACCATTATCTGTTTGCTGAGCCAGAATACTAAAATACCCACCTAAATGTCTCTCTGCCTGATTTAAGCTACCTACCTGAGCAATAAAGTCACCTGCTACCAGTACTATGTCTGAGCGTTTAGCTTTCTGTAAAAGTCATTTTTCACTTCATCCGGACTGCAGTCAGTGGGAGCGTAGGCAGAAACGACAAAAAGGCAACAGCGTGTGCCCCTGTCCTTCCGAGTTCCTACTGAGCCGTCTAGCCGAAAAGCACATAGACGACTGTTAACGGAGATCCATTATAATAGTGCTTATTCTGCCCTTGTACTTAGTGCTATGCCTACACCTACCAGTCCAGGAGAACTAGCCATCGGGTCGCCAGATACACGGAGGGTGTATCTCGTCAGACCTCTGTTTTGGCGCGGTGAGGTCAGGTAAATGACCACACTAGGATCCTGTATGCGTGTTTCGGAGCCACAGCATACATCAATAGTACGAGATTCTAGGGTTTTAGCCAAGGAGGTCTGCTGGCCGATTTGACATGGGACAGTGTATTGCGCACTAGAATCGTTGGCTATAGTGACACTTGAGAAGGAAGCCAAAAGAGGAAGTTTAGAGTTAAAAGTCGATGTAAGAGGACAATAGGAATTGAAGAGGGAGGTTGATTATGAATACAGTGGTCTTGAGTGTTGTTAGAGGTATGAGGGCAGTTATCACTTCCCGGTTGCCTACACTGTGGAAAGTGTTCTTTTGGAGGTACTTGTAAAGGAAATTTAGTTAAAGGTGGTATTAATTACCTGAGAGCATGATCACAGTGCCCAAGGGACAACTGCTTGAGGTTGATCACACACGACCTTTTTGTGAGTAGTTTTCGTGTTAGCTCCCTACTTTTTGGGACCCTACCGCCCGAGACGGAAATCCGTGAGTTAAGGTGAGGTGTGACATTTTTAGGGTCGACCTTTTCCCATCCCTCCCTTCCTTGTGAGGAGGCAGAATCGCTGCAGATGCTGGTTGTCCGAGGGAAACACCTTACTGCTGTGACATCCCTCTACAGTCAGCAGTACGACTTCGCCCTCAGGCCTTGAGTTGCTACTTATAGTTTTACCATTCTCCAATCGACTTGCTTGGCATGGTAGAACCTACGTGAACATATGTTCCAGCTAATATAGCTCGGCTGGGTCATCATGATAGTCAAGCCTGACCACCACGTCAAGGTTGCAGCTGCGGTCTGGGTCGAGGTTTGAGAGTTCTCTCGCCCTCTCAAAATTCTCTCACATGTCCACCCGTAAACATCCAATGCCACTGCTTTCTTATGTTGTATTACGAAATTACGTGTGACAATATAGAATGTTCGTTTTTTTAACCGGGTAGGTAGACACGTAGGTTCCACTTACGGGAGTTGGAAAACCTTGATTCCAAACCAGTGATGCACATGGACACCAGGACCCTGATGGAACAAATGGCGTATGAACCGAATGTTGGTCACCGGCTACCATGGAACTACATATCCTGACGTTGCTCCACTGCCTTGTGAGTCAGACATTTACATCAAAGGCTCGGGGTGTGACCGCCTAAGAAAACCACCTGCTCCGGTCTGGGCACCAGGGTAGTATCACAGCCCACAGATAAGTGAATTGTGTGGCGCACATGTATTTGGTGCCCTTTTGTGCCAATATTTGTGTTCAAATAAATAATAATACCTAAACATGAAGTGCAGCATACTAGTTCCATTTATCAAATAAGAGCCGACTATAAATGAAAGGTTGCTTAAAAATTATTGTTTTGTTCTTTCGACATATGAAACGCATGTTCGGTATTAAGTGCGTCAACTAGTTTACTTATCTTGGAAGTTATATATGTATATATTATCACATTTACTACCCTGAGATATCTTCACAACTCCATCTTACTGTGCTAGAGTAATGTGGTAATCTCAGTTGATCCACATATGCTCCAGGTTCTACGCTGCTTAAGACTGACGGACCTCAGCATTTATAAAACTCAGTATGCACAAAAGAAATCAGGATTATATGTAGACTAACTATTTAGAACAAAGTTCTCTCTTAAACCCCACCTACTTAGCCATGATTATAGTTATGAAAAGGTTTAAGAGTAGTAATTGAATAAAGTCACATGTTAACCAAATTAGAGATTTTGAAATCAACCGACTGAGTGAGAAGTTTATGGAGACTTATAAGAAATGATATGCTATTCATAGAGAACACGATTTAAAAAACCACAGACCAATGAATATAATATTAAATAATTCATAGATGACTTTTGCAGACAATACTGCCTTTTTAGGCGTCCAGAATAAAGAACCTAAATGTTTGATTGTTTGGAATTTAGCAACTATTCAAATGATTTTTTTATTCCTCAAATAAAATAAAAATAAACAACCTAGTTCCTGAAGGTGGAAAATTTATTGTAAAGGATGCAAACATATACTCACCTTCTTGGGCAATGCTTTTGTGGTCGCTTAGAATCGTATGTTGTGGCTGGTTATATATAATCCTAATCCCTGCAAATAGAGAAATCTAATATAAATTAGAGAATAAAATAAAGTCATGCAAACATACATGATAAAATAGGTCTCAGGAAAATTGTTCCTGTTCATGAATTCAATGTCTTATTAGTTCCACTTTTAGGTTTATATATAACACTGGCAGCGAAACCGGCACAGAGTAATCTGGTTTCATTTTCAATGACTAATCTTGACGGTCTGATCCCCAACCCGGTATTACAATCTCATTACACACTAGTGGGCTGTTTTTCTAGCTTGATTTTTGATTAAAATTGGTCACCGCTTTTAATATGTGGGAGAACTCGAAATGTGGACATAAAAAGACATTCATCACATTCTGTCACTCTTTATGAACTTAGACTGATATGATGAACCGCAACCAACTTTGGCAGGCATACTTAGTCAACATGTATGGTAAGATTTGATAATCAATGATCTAAGCTTACTCCATTGAGAGTAGAAGACACTCGTAAGCCACTAGTATTTGACCACAGATGCCTAAGAAATATTGCTCGCATCTGCTGGGATCACCACATAAGCAATAATGAGGTTAGACGCAGGGTATTAGGGAATGATGGTAAATCAGTCTATGAGGTTGTGAATCCTCACCAACTGAGATGGTTGGAGCACCATAACAGTATGCTTGAACGCCGTTTACCACGACGCGCAATGATGACTAGTGTTGGAGACGGTTGGAAGAAAGTTAGGGGCGGCCAAACCAAAACGTGGCATCAGTCTTTGAAGTCACTAACTTCTAGTCTGAGTCTTGTTGGTGGATACGGACTACCTGGTTGCGGTGTTCGTGACTATCGTAACCAATGGCTGGAGGCTGTGAGAGACATGGCTCAGAATCGATCACAATGGCGTAGGTGTATACACTCTCAAACTATGAGATTGAAATTGCGTTATATCCTTTCTAGCAACCAATTAACTACTTCTATGAATCCAGTGTTCATCTTCTTGTGCTAATGAGATGTGGCAACTTGGACCGATGCATATATGTACCTGGTCCTACGTTGTAGCTGACTGACGCTTAAGCGTTAAGTAACAGTAGTAAAGCAACACTAAGGTAATTGTGCACAGGGTGACAAGAAGAACCACTGTTAATGCTTACGCAACACTAAATGTTTGTTTGCAATATAAAGACCAGTAATGATACATTCAGACTAACTGAAGTTTTTTAGCCAAATAACCCACGTCAACCCAGAGATTTATTTTATTTTCTAGAGGTCCTATAATCCACAAACTCTTTAAAATTGAAAGCCATTAAAATTTCAATTATTATGACCTGGTCAGTCATCATACTAGAAGGATGGAACTACACAGACAAAGTATAACCTGTTAATCTATATAAGCAAGGTTAAATTAATGGGGCGTAGTTACTGAAAAAATTCCAGACATAACTTTAGACGGGTTACATCCTGTCCCGATATTGACAACAATGCAGTGAAGTATAGCTCGGAACCTAGGAGCTAAGTAAAGGGTTCTGGATAATAAGATTGATCCTGACCGTTGTTGCTACCTTGACGTGGTGGTCGGGCTTGCCTATCGTGATGAAGCAACTGAACTATACTGACTGGAACAACCGTTCCTCAAGGTCCTACCATGCCAGACAGGTCGGTTGAAGAGCGGTAAGACTAAAAGCAACAAAACCAAGGTCCGAAGGCGAAGTCGTACTGCTGACTGAGTGTACAGAGGTGTGACAGCAGTATGGTGTTTCCTTCAGACAACCAGCATAACAGCGATGCTGCCTTCCCACAAGGAGGGATGGGGTTAGAAAAGGTCGACTCTAAAAATGCACACCTCGCCTTATCCCACGGATATACGTCTCCGGCGGTAAGGTCTCAACAAGTACGGAGCTAACACAAAAATTACTCATAAAAAGGTCGTGTGTGATCAACCTCAAGCAGTTGTCCCTTGGGCACTGCGGTCACGCTCTCAGGTCGCTGTGACCACCTCTAACCCAATTTCGTTTTCAGGTACCTCCAGCAGAACCCTTCCACGGTGTGGGCAACCGGGAAGTGATAACCGCCCTCATACCTCTAACAGCACTCAAGACCACTGTATTCATAATCAACCTCCCTCTTCAATTTCTATTATTCCTCCTACATCGATTTTCAAATCTAAACTTCCTCTTTTGACTTCCTCCTTAAGTGTCACCACAGCCAAAGATTCTAGTGCGCAAAACACTGTCTTAGGTCTACTGAAACCTCGCTCCAAACTCCACATTGGAGACTCCAACGTATGCACCCTATGTCAAATCGTCCAGCAGACCTCCTTGGCTAAAACCTTAGAATCTCGTACGATTGATGTATGCTGTGTCTCCGAAACACGCATACAGGATCCTAGTGCGGTCATTCACTTGACCTCACCTCGGCAAAACGGAGAGCCGTCGAGATACACCCTCCGTGTATCTGGCGACCCGATGGCTAGTTCTCCTGGACTGGCAGGTGTAGGCAAAGCACTTAGCATGAGGGCGGAACAAGCGCTATTAGAGTGGATTCCCGTAAACAGTCGTCTATGCGCTGTTCGGCTAAACGGCTCGGTAAGAACTCGGAAGCATAGGGACACATGTCGTTGCCTTTACGTCGTTTCTGCCTACGCTCCCACTGACTGCAGTTCGGATGAAGTGAAAGATGACTTTTACAGAAAATTGTCTGAACTTCTTCAGAAAGCTAAACGTTCCGACATAGTACTCGTAGGAGGTGACTTTAATGCCCAGGTAGGTAGCTTAAACGAAACAGAAAGACATTTGAGTGAGTATTTTAGTATTCCGGCACAGCGAACAGATAATGGTGATCGTCTGCTGCAACTGTGCTCAGACAATCGTTTATTTTTAGCAAACACAAATTTTAAGCATAAGGAGAGACATCGTCTAACATGGCGACCCTCATCACCAAACCAACGATGGACTCAAATAGACCACATTGCCATCAGTCATCGTTGGAGAGGGTCAATAGAAGATTGTCGCTTATTCTGGAGTACCTGCTTGGACTCCGACCATGCCCTAATACGAGCACGCATCTGATTGCGCCTCACTGGTCTATTGCACTGATAAATTCTCTCAAACTCATCCCATCAGGTTCTGAACACGATGAAGAGCGTAAAGTAATCAGATCTAGGTTAAGCAAAAGTTCAAGGAATGATCGTGAGCAGTGGTGGGCAACGAAAGCAAAAGAGATGGAAAAGGCGGCGGCTATAGGGAACACAGGACAACTCTACAGACTAATAAAAGAAACTGGAATTAATAAATCAAGTGTTAGTCAGACTATTTCAGAAAAAAACGACACTCATCTGCTTCCAGTCCAGACGTTTAGAACGATGGACGGAACACTTTAAGGAGCAGTTTAGCTGGCCTTCAGCTACTCTACAACTACCCTCTATTCCCAGACAGTATGAATGGAACATTGAAGTAGGTCCCCCAACTCTAGCTGAAGTTCAAAAGGCTATATTTTATCTAAAACGAGGAAGGGCAGCTGGTCCAGATGGATTGGCTCCAGAGGTCTTTAAGGATAGTGGTCTAGTTTTAGCGATTAGGTTGACTAATATTTTAGCTAAAATCTGGGAGTTAGACGTTATCCCATCTAACTGGTCACAATCACTTATCGTCCCAATATTTAAGAAAGGATCAAAATCATCCTGTGACAACCATAGAGGGATTAGTTTAACTAATATAGTATCTAAAATACTAGCCTCGATAATATCGGACGCCTAACTAAGACTCGTGAACTGCAAACACGAGAGAATCAAGCTGGCTTCAGACCTGGTCGTGGATCTATAGACCATATATTCACCGTTCGTCAGGTTCTGGAACGCAGACATACTTATCGGCGTCCGACAATGGTGGTCTTCCTTGACTTAAAAACAGCGTTTGACTCTGTTGACCGAGAGGTTCTGTGGCAGTGTCTGTCATTGAAAGGCGTACCTCAGAAGTACATAAACCTTGTAAAGGCTTTTTACTCGAACACTACTAGTCGAGTCAGAGCTTATTTATTTATTTTAACACATAAATATCGGTACAAGAAGGCACCAAATACATATGCGCCACACAGATCTCATTTGATATGTGTGAGGGCTGTGATACTGCCCGGGTGCCCAAACCGAAGCAGGTGGTTTTCTTAGGGGGCCACACCCCTGCTTTTGCAACCTCAAGTGGTGTCCGTCAAGGCTGTCCACTTTCTCCTTTTTTGTTTAACTTTATCATAGACCTCCTGATGGAAATAACGCTCTCATCGACTGAATTCTCGTGTATTGATCTCCTATTAGGAGGTCCACTTATTGACTTAGAATACGCAGATGACATAGTCCTGTTTGGTGAAGACGCTGATAAAATTCAGTCTTTTGGTAGCACTGAGCAACAATGCCAGAATGTTTGGGATGCGCTTCTCCCCCCCCCAAATGCAAGTTGTTGCTTCAGGACTGGTCTGCGTCAACACCTGAACTAAGGATAATAAGTGAAATAATCGAACGCGTTGACAACTTCACTTATCTTGGAAGTCTGATCAGCCCTAATGGGTTGGTGTCTGACGAAATCTCAGCACGGATTCGAAAAGCTCGTTTGGCCTTTGCCAACTTACGTCATCTATGGCGAAGGCGAGATATCCGTCTATCAATTAAGGGACGAGTATACTGCGCGGCAGTTCGTTCCGTTGTACTATAGGACTGTGAAACATGGCCTTTAAGAGTAGAAGATACTCGTAAATATTGCTCGCATCTGCTGAGATCACCGGGTAAGTAGTAGTGAGGTCAGACGCAGGGTACTAGGGAATGATGGTAAATCAGTTGATGAGGTTATGAACCTTCATCGACTGAGATGGTTGGGCCACGTGTTGCGTATGCCTGAACACCGATTACCACGACGCGCAATGCTTACTGGTGTTAGGGATAATTGGAAGAAAGTCATGGGCGGCCAAACCAAAACGTGGCATCAGTGCTTGAAGTCACTAACTTCTGGGCTGAGCCATGTACGGCCCTGGTACGGCCGAGAGTGGGGAAAGTCCGCTCTCCCTCTCGAAATGCTCTCACATGGCCATGCGTATATAGCCTCTGCCAGGGAAGTCCTACTCACTGCCTTCTCGTGGCGGGGGTGTTGTTTACAAAAATGAGAGGACGAAAAGCGAATGTCCGGCGCTTTAACCGGATCCCAAACCAATGGTGCACATGGGCTCCAGTATCGTGCGGGAACAAATGGCGTATGAACCAACTTTTGGTCACCGGCTTCCATGGGACTGCATCTCCTCACGATGCTCCACTGCCTTGTGGATCAGATCTTCAGGTCAATGGCTCGGGGTGTGGCCCCCTAAGAAAACCACCTGCTTCGGTTTGGGCACCCGGGCAGTATCACAGCCCTCACACAAATCAATTGAGATTTGTGTGGCGCATATGTATTTGGTGCCTCCCTGTACCTATACTTATGTGTTAAGATAAAATAAAATAAAATAAATGTTGGAAAATTCAGACTGCCTGGTTGGGGTCCGCGTGACTATCGTAACCAATGGTTGGAGACTCTTGGTGACATGGCTCAGAATCGATAACAATCGCGTCGGTGTATACACTCTCTGTCTTCCTTAAATTAAGAGATTAAAATCACTTCAAATCTTTCTTTCTAGGAACTAATTCTTTCTTCCTGTACTATCTCATTATACACAATCATTCTTCTATATATTACCACCACTGAATTAACTACTTTTATGAATCCGGTGTTCATCTTGTTGTGCTAATGCGGTATGGCAACTTGGACCGATGCATATACGTGCCTGGTCCTACGTTACAGCTGACTGACTGAATAAGATTGATGAGTTCTCATTATTTGTTTGGCAAGAGGCCAGATATACAGATCCGTAAATATTCGTGAGAAATATACGTTACGCAACGAGGTTATTGTAACTTAGCTATTTTTGCAGCTGCAGAAGTGAGTGATTAGGATATGTAAAGCCACTTTTCTCCTCTGAAGACGAAAAGACTTACGACATATTGATAATGTTCCAGAGCTTTTAAAAATAAATTTGATAAGCAATAGGAGATTGACAGTCAGTCACGTCTGAAGTAAAACCTTACTCAACAAGTTTCTATTGAGTTTGTGTTACTTAGATCGTGGGCCTAGTTGTTTCGCCATTCCCCACAAAAGCCCTCGATGTAACCAGCAACTTAGACATTCCAAAGAGTTTATGAGTAACAACACATTTAGCGGTCGTGGGACGGTGCATTCGAAATTATGCCGTTATTGCGAATCTAAATCCTTGAATGAGTTGGAATTGATAGGAAAAGAACATATGGGGCATAACTTGTCACGAAGACGATACCAACACAAATACCTGAAACGTATACGCCTCCTTGTAAAAATGTGAGCAGACTAGCATTTCAGAGTACCGAAGTTAATAACAATGCATTTTACATGGATGCGTAGCTCACAAGAAAGCTCAAGACCAAACGATTATTTGTATACAGAAATCCGAAATACAAGTTGACAAAACAGTAACCAAGCAATATTTAACTTCGTATGAAACAAAAAGCTTAAATTCTACTTATTCTCAGCTTCATAAAAAGGGCCCCAACAACTGATACGCATAAACCTACCACCTGGTGCCAGCTGGTCAAATGACGCAGTCGCAACCTTGTTGCCGAATATCATGTTCTATATCCTCGTGTTCAAGAGACAATTCGAGGTCAAATTTGAATGGTCAATTGTTGAAAGAGCAATTGAACAGGAGGTAATTTCGCACAACCAATTATTAAAACGTTGTTTGACGTTCAGGCAGAATAGCATATAGGAATTTTTATGTGAAATATTTCTTCGATTATAAAGAACTTTGTTTTTTGTACATTTAAAATCATCCCTACAACAACCCGGATTAAACATGAAGTACAATGTTCAATTGTGAAGAGCAATATAAACTAAAAATGAATAAAATATTTGCGTGAGTCAGATAACAAAGCTTATCAAAAAGCTTCAGTTTCATACAGAAAGTTTCGGAACTAACTGTTATGATATAACCACAAAGTACATAAACTGATCGTTTCCCATACTCTAGACAGAATTTTATATAAAGCGACTACTGTATGAAGTTATAATGTACTTTTCCATCTTCCTATTTCTCATACTTGTTTGAAAGTGCTTCAATCATACAATTGTTTAATTATATTCACGAAACTACCAGGAATACCTGATGTCATTATGGCTACTATTGTATTTGACTTAACACTTAAGCAAATGTTTCAATAGAATGTTGAAGTCATCAGTTCGAATAGTTAAACTAGCTAAAAATAAAAGCTCAACCACTCAATCTTAGAAAACTATTCAATACGCACGCCCTAGTCTTCTGTTTTCCTGCTTTCATAATTGAAGAAATACAGAATTCTCTTCAGTCCATTTTATATACAACTTAATCCATGACCGAACATTTTTGAAAAGAAGACGAGCTATTTTACGTCATTCATGAACCGTTTCAAAATAGGACCTTTTTAAACCTAGGAGGATAACATTGGATCGCAAACTAAACGATCAGCTTTTGAATACAAGTCTCAATGTATTCGAAAGATAAAGACAACGCCCTTCATAAGGGTGAAACACCCCAAGTTGGATTTCTATGTACATATATTTTTCCACTATTAGCATTCGTAAGATTTTTGAAAAAACAGAGAGTACTTTGAAGTGTCAACTCTATTACTTATCCAGTCCTATACAGATTAAAATTGAGACGTTTTCACTCCAAACCAAAAATACCTGTAAAACGGAAGCTGATGAATTAAATAGAGCATTTCATATGATTATGTCCACCTTCAAGTGGTATTACAATCATTCATATGCTGCATAACTTATTTTTAGCAGCGATCTCAAATGCTCGATGGCTGATTGAAAATATACTGGTAATCTTTCTGTATAAAAAGTTACCACTTATTCTCCTTTCAGTGATAGTGTGTGGTCAAAGACTATGTCGATGTAATTTGTTTCATTTCATAAAAAGTCTTTATCAGCTATGGCTTTTTAAAATAGTGTCATCGATCGATGTACGTAATCTAACGCCTTACACAGTCTTATGAATCCAACTATAATTTGGTGGTCATATTATCCCTTGAAACACAGACAAAGTTTTGTTTAGAAAACATAAAGGAACTTTCGTCTATATTTGATCGAATAGTTTCACAATATTTGTTCGCCGAATCGATGTGAGATATTGAATACTTGACAATTTTGATGTTTGATCATGTTTCCTTGTAAAAAACATGGACTACATTACCAGGTGAAAAGTTGAATTTGCTTCAAAATTCATTGTCTGAGATTTGACAATTACATTCTTTTTCATTATTTGGAAGGGTTACATATTTTTTGACAACAGATAAGGGTGTGTTGTGTGCTACTCATGTAGATATAAGTAGTATATTGTTTGAGTCGTGAACCGAATGTCTGGCAGCAGAGAAAGAAGATCGAACAGTAAAGAATGAAAACAGAACGAAATTTGTGTGAAAATGCAAGAACAAAGGAAGTCTGAGTCATTTGAGACAACTGATGGACATTTTGCAAATTGGGCACTTACTAAATGGTTGTTTGATTTTACTAACTACTTTTGTAATTTGTTGTCAAATACATTCGATTGACCTCACTGATTTTCTTATTCACTACAATGGGAGTACAGCACGACAGCACAGTTTGAACAGTACTGTCAACCATAACTTTCACACTAGCTTTCATTAAATTTCATTACCTCTCATCAATCATTCAACTTCCAGTAATCAGTTTTCAAAGGTAGGTCTCAAAGAAGATGGTCCATTGTAACTGCTAACTCGTATTACTGTACCACGCTTCCTCCGGTTGGCTCTTACCTTGAGGCATTACTTTGCACTTGCATGTCGGCTGTGGTTGACGTTGTTCATTCACTGTAGCGGAATAAAAAAGCAGTCAGAGGGTTCTAAAACTGAATGAAATTTATGTTAATTTCTTCATTGTGTTCATAAACCTTGTGTAGTCAGTGGTTAGAGAATGGTTTCTGTAGCCTCTAAAATGAGGTTTTCAACTAGCAGAAATGTTGCATAATAACTTATCGGGTCATACACAATCTCATTACAGCATATGACCGGGAGACGTCTTATTCCCGTATCCAGCAGTGGTGTGTGGTGGACCATCTAATGAGGATTCAGTGTCATTCTAATAACCCTGAAGAAGTAACGAAGTTCATAACAGTTTGTTTTCTCATAAACAAATTTATTGTTTGGCTTAATCAGTAGAGCGTAACACTACGCATTACCTTTGAAACCACCGAAACATTTTTGTGTGCATGCTATGTTCAGAATAATTTTCTGATCTGGAAACTGTCAGAAGCTGATAAGTTCACAGTTAATCGCAGTTTTGCAGTTTACCACTTGCGCCTATCAGTCAGTCTAAACATTACATCCACTGTAGGCTAAGTTCGACTCAGTGATCTGTACCGTATTTCAAATAACCCGCGATCTGAGAAAAGCAAGTAAATTTTTTCACGTCTTGAGATAATACATTTCTGTTGTGTTTTTCGTATCAGAAGTTAGACTTCGACCCACATTTGACGCTTTTAGCACTATTTGGGTTTAAGAAATATTCTTTTGCACGATTTCTTCCTCAGCTTTCACTAGTTGGTGTTCCCTTATTTTGGTTCATGTATGTTCATTGTACACACCGTTTTCCTGGTTTGGGTTTTCTAAATCTCTTGAATTTTTCTTGAGTCAACTATTACTGGTGAAGGTGACCGTTTCTGTGCAATTTACAGATGTCCTAGTAACATTGTATCTTTCGACTTTTTGTGATTATCTGCTTGAACTGTTCTTCTTACACCCAAATCAAACTAGTTCAAAGCCATTAATACGGTCGACCATTATGCATTATCCCTGTTGATTATGTTAAGCAGTGTGGCAAATGTAAGATTTCTCCACAAAACGTACACTTGTTTATCACTGGCCATATTTACAAGCTTCTGAAACCGATTTCATCGTGATCATGTGAAGGATGCAGCCTGACTCAAGTGATTTTCATGGTTAAAGTCTTAGAGCTTTACGCTCTGGTGAAAAAAATACATGAGTGACGAGGCCGGCTCAGTGGGTATGACATCAGATAAGGAGGAATCAGCAGCCGTATTCTCTGGTATCATCGGCTTAGCTCTCATTCCAGACCAAATGTCTGAAAATCCCCTTTGTTAAGACCGTTGATGGGCAGTGTCGGCATAAAAAAACTTAAACGCCGTCAGAGTGCATTTAATCTAAATTCTACCGATAAGATGGATGCAACTGTACGACGTCAAGAAAACAAAACCCTCATAAGAAAAACCAGATAGTATAAGCTCATGAGCTTCGGGATACTAGGTACTGTACAGGAGTGGATAGGAAACTTTTTATGTGACCGCAGACAGAGAGTGAGGGTCAATGGGACGCTATCCGATTGTAAGCCGGTCAAAAGTGGTGTACCCCAAGGCACCATCTTAGGCCGTCTGCTCTTCCTTCTCTACGTAAATGAGTTACCGATGTTACTTAGGTCGTCGACATTATTGTTTACGGATGATGTAAAAATCTGGAGAACAATAAAACTGAGGCTCACCATCTGGATCTTCAAGCTGACTTAGACGATCTAGTTAGATGGGCTCGATGTTGGGACTTGGAAATCAATTCTAGGAAGATTGTGCTAATGAACATCGGTCGCAGTAATAGTTACCATTATACTATTGATGGTAAAACTCTTCTATGCGTTCAAGAACATAAAGACTTAGGAGTAATAATAAGTCATGACCTAAAAACAACTACGTAGTGCAACTCAGCCGCTGTCAAAGTTTTTCGTGCGTTATGGTCACTTCACCGAGCATTCAAACCTTTTGAAGAGGAAATGTTTCGAATTTTATGTCCCACCTATGTAAGACCATATTTAGAGTACTGTATCCAAGCAGCTAGCCCATGTCTGATAAAGGATACTACCTCACTTGAGCGTGTCCAGCGTGTGGGAACGAAATTAGTGAAGGGTCTTCCTAAAATTCCTTATGATGAGCGTTTAAAACGCCTAAACGTTTTCCCCTTGTCGTATCGTAGGACTCGAGGTGACCTTATACTGGCATTTCGTATCTTTAATTATGATTTGGGTGTTAATATGTCTTATCTTTTTGCTCCCTTCAGCACTAATAATCTCCGAGGTCATAGCAAGAAGGTTCATAAACCGCGATCTAATAAACTTAAAATGGGGTTCCATTTTTCTCATCGAGTAGTCAATGATTGAAACGCCTTGCCCGAAGAAGTGCTATCAGCTCCATCAATGAATATTTTCAAGGAGAAACTGGACCTTTACTGGAAGGCAATCTGTTAGGATTAACACAGGTTCACCAACCTACTATCCTTACTACTGGAGACTGGGTTCACCCGAGAGTCCAGAAATGAAAGGGACTTAGAGGAAAGCTTCCTATAGCTAGTGACAAGAAAACGACAGCACCATCAAAAACTGAATTGTTTGAAAGCTGAAGGAAGGAGGAGGAAATGCCATTGTCAAATAACTCGCAGTTATTGTGGGGTGCTATCAGAAATGTACTTCCAGAAGAGCATTTGACAGTACATATCACAAACGTAATAAGATTCGGTAGGAGATGACAGATACATTCCGAGTGGAGACCGGAGTTGGACATGATTTCTTGCTCTCACACTTCCGTTCTTCTGATGGCTGACCGAGATATGAAGACCCTCACACATCAGAGGAACTTAATTACGCCTGTTATTTCTCTTGTAGGATTATAGGCCGCCCAACAGCATTCTCCATCCAACCCTGTCCTGGACAATCCTTTCCAGCTTTTTTCAGTTGTTATTCGTCCTTTTCATATCCGCTTCTATTTCCCGACGTAATGTGTTCTTTGGCCTTCCT